CTGGATACTTTAAAGTGTCAGCCTTATGGGTCCCAGGGAATCAATCAACTGGGTTTATTTTCTTGATGAAAAGACAGGGTCTGCTTCAGAAAACTGAAGCACCAGAGGTTTTAAGCCAAACAAAATGCCTTCAAAGTCAGCAGATAGAAAACACTCAGATATTAACTTTAGGACCCTAAAGACATCAAACCTTATTTTTTTAAATTCTCAGTTCCGTTCCTTACCCACGATTCTCCCACTCCTCTTCTCCTCACAACGAGATTTAGTCACCAGAGCCAGTTGGCCCTCTGATCATTCTTCTGGTGTCTGGCAATAGGATGACTTACCGGGACCAAAAAATTTATTTTCTCTAGCTAACTTCATTAAATGCGGACTTCACATGCCTGTCATAGATGTTTTTTTTTAAATTTATATCTGTAAGTTCATGCCCACAGTATGACCATCACGGCTTTTTCTTTTCTTTCTTTCTTATTTATTTATTTTTTTGAGTGACTGAAGTTAGATTAAGAAGGTAAGGCACACACTGTTTACTACCTTATGTTACATCAGTGGGCACACTAAAAATGTGCGAAGAACTACAGCGGAGAGGAGCTCAGAGGTACAAAAAGCTCGGGGCCTCTCTCCCCACCAAAATCTCACTCCAGCTTCCTGCTGCATGATCAGCAAAGACCTGTCTCGGCGCCTAGCTGTGACTGTCGGAGCAGCGCCCCGTGGCCTTCATTGCTCGTGAGGTTTGCTATCTGCTCTCATCCCAATGGGTACAGAGTTCCAAAGTCAACACTGGAGAATTCCAAAGGCATGTCGCCTCCAATTCATCAACATGCAGTCCTGGATTCTAAACATTCCTATACTTAATAAAAACAGGAATGAAGGAAAAGAGAACATAGGGTGAAAAAACATTATTTTGGAGAAATTTACTTGACAGCACTTGAAGCCCATGAGCCTAAGCGGATCCCGGATCCTTCCAGCCCAATGGTGCGGTGGGGAGGAAGGTCCTTGGGGGAGTTGCCTGTGATCTTCGGCAGAAGGCAGCAGCCACTGTCCAATGGCTACAATAATTTAACCATTTCTCAAATGGTGAAGAGGAGAAATAATCTTGAAAAGAAATAAAGACTCAACCAACTGATGAGAAATAGGTTTTCTCCCCTTTGTCATGTTTTCTTTTGTTATTTCAACCGAAGATTATTCCAGGTTTGGTTTTTTTGTTTTTTTTTAAATCCCAAAGAAATCTCATCTAATACTGCCCTTTGGAAGAAGAAAGAACACGTCACAATGGGGGTTGGTGGGTACATCACACATAAGATGAACACATTCCTCTTTCATATATAAACCAAAGGATAATATTAGTGCTATTATAGTACATCTATTCCAGATCTTGCCAATAACAGGAAATGGAAGGAGAAAGAGGATTTTTTTTAACACAAAGGAAAACCTTTGCCTTCTTGGGTACCGACGTTAATTCACACAGCCAAACCCTCTCAGCCGACATACTCGGGCCTGAGGTAACTGATGGTGAAAACTGATGAAAGCAGAAAATCCTTTAAAAATGATACATACACACCTTAAGACTTGACTTTAATGTGCAGCCACGGTGACTGATGGTCTTGTTTCCTGGGATGAGGCACAGCCGGTGGCCAGGCGTACAGCACAGGAGACGCACCCTCACACCGCTGGGGGCCATGACCCTCCTTTGGACAGAGGTCTGATGGAGCTCCCACGGACCTTCCTGCGTGAATGGTGCCCAGTCTAGGAGTTCGCAGTCTCGTAATTCCCAATCTCAGTTTCTTTGAAGTTGAGCGAGAACTGAAGATACGTATGAAGACTAGACTCTTTCCGGATTTTTACAACATTCCCCCACTTTTTATAGCTGTCCCAACCCACTCACATTGACAGACATGCTTTTGTAGTCACAAGTGTTGAATCTTCTCCAAAATACTCACAGCAGTGACTTTTGCTACTTACATTTAATCAGTTTATAAAATGCTGATGTCCCATTTCATTAAACTACATAATTCCAGTAGCAAGTGGCTCAAGGAGGTTTGAGAACAAATGCGCTGATCCTGTCAGCACCCAGTTCCACCCCTCAAGCAGGAAGACATGGGTGTCCTGGGAGAGAGTGGGCTGTACCAGCCGCTGGTGCCCAGGTGCCCCAGGGACAAGATGTGTGTTGACACGTACTACACGGGACTGTAGAAGGATACAGCAGTTAATGCAGTGAGTCAATAACATGGAAGCCGGCTAGAAAACTCCTGTACTTGAAATTTTTTAAGGGTCTACTGCAAAAGAGTGAGTTTTCTTTTTTCCTCTTTTTTTAAAAAAATTTTATTGAAGTGCAGTTGATTTACAATCCTAGTTTCAGGTGTACAGCAAAGTGATTCAGTTAT